TAAAATCTGGGTCCCTGTTAACATTTCTACCACCTTTGGACCAACTTTAAATCCCATGTTGCTTTAGTCTGACCTCAAATCTAGAACTGCTCCGATAACATTTTCACCATCACATAATTTCTGGTATGACTTAGCACTCAACTTTCAATTAACTATTCCCTCACCAATGTCTCTCTAATACAGAATCAGATCCAGATGTGTTAATTTTTCCACCATCAATGTATACCAGGAGTGATCTCAAAATTGACCTCTATTGCCAGGGTTCAATCCTCAGTATATATTTTTTAAAAAGACTCATAAAAGAAAAACTGAAATAATCATAATAATAATAAAAATGAGGTCAGTGGCACATACCTGTAATCCTAGCTACTTGGGAGGCTGAGGTAGGAGGATTGCAAATTTAAGGCCAACCTCAGCAACTTAGAACCTAAACAATTTAGTGAGACCCTGTCTCAAAATATAAAATAAAAAGGTTGGGGATGTAGCTCAGTGGTAGAACACCCCTCAGTTCAATCCCAGATACCACATACACATAAAAAAAGACAATGATAAAAAAAATGTTGACCTTTGTGAGTTTTTCCAACATTAATGACCTTGATACCACCAGGGTCACATACATAGAATAAATAAAATGGGCTTATTGGTCTGCTGCAGCAAGGGAGACCAAACCTCACAAAACTGGGATGTCTCATCTAGGATGACTAATTTTTTTCCAGTTTGCCCAAGACTTTCCTGTTTTTAGCATTGAAACTGACCTTGTCCAAGTAAACCCCTCAGTCCTAGGCAAATAGAGATGGTTCATACCTTAGTGTCACCAAAAAGAAATGGGATTACTATAGAGTGTAGGAGTGCTTTAAGCAGATATAGAGTTTAGGTAACACTTAACTGAAGCAATATTTTCAGTGAGCCCAAAATAAAAAAGTTTGGTATGTAAAAGTGTCAACATTAGGTCTAGGATGTGAAGTAGACTCAAGGTCACTTCTCTTTAGAAATACCAAAGTAGCCAGGCATGGTGGCACATACCTGTAATCCCAGTAGCTCAAGAGGCTGAGACAGGAGGATTGCAAGTTCAAAGCCAGCCTCAGCAATGGCGAGGCACTAAGCAACTGAGTGAGACCCTGTCTCTAAATAAAAATACAAAATAGGGCTGGGGATGTGGCTCAGTGGTCAAGTGCCTGAGTTCAATCCCTGGTACAAAAAGAAAAAAAAAAGAAAGAAAGAAAAAAGAAATACCAAAGTAAAGCCAGATATGAAATATTGGCTTCAGTTATCCATTATCAGAAGCTCTGTACCTGGGTTGAAAATCAAGGCTGTTTCTCTATATCAAAGTGGATTAAATCCTCCAGGTAAGAGTGGGATTTTTTTATTTTTACCAATCATTTCACACAGGACAATATATAGTCTGTGATTTTAGAGAGCAAGTGTCCTATGCTAGGCTCACTAAGACTAGAGAGAGGAAAGTGAATTTATGAGTGCAAAATTTAAAGATATTTGAAGCAATATTTTCAAAAGTCAAAATTAATGCAGTAAATTCTTTTTTAATAATTCTTTTTTTTTTGGTACTGGGGATTGAATTAAGGGGTGCTTTACCACTGAGCTACATCCCCAGTCCTTTATTTATTTATACCTTTATTTTATTTATTTATACCTTTATTTTATTTATTTATATATGGCGTTGAGGATCGAATCAAGCACCTTGCACGTGCTAGGCGAGCACTCTACCACTGAGCCAAAACCCCAGCCCCAGCAATAAATTCTTAATGAACAAAATACCAAGACTTTAATGAAACAAATACCTATACTAGCTATCTATTGCTGCATAACAAACAATCCCCAAACATAGAAACTTAAAACAACAAATATTATTATCTCAGTTTCTGTGGTATAAAGAATTTGGCTTACCTGGGTGGTTCTGTCTTAGGGTCTCTCATAAGGTTTTTCACTTCTAAGCTGCTTTATTTGACTAGCTATTGGTGGCTGGGTGTGGAGACTGAGACAGGAGGACCAAAAGTTCAAAGCCAGCCTCAGCAACTTAGCAAGACCCTAAGCAACTCAGAGAGACCCTGTCTCAAAAAAATAAAAAAGGCTGGGGCTGTTGCTCAGTGGTTAAGGGCCCCTGGGTTCAGTAGCTGTTATAAAAAAAAAAATGCTGTTGGCTAAGGGCCTCAGTTCCCTACTGGCTATTAACAGGAATGCTTGGTACAAGGGCCTCTCCAAAGGCCCTTTGAGGTCTGGGAATGTAGTTTGGTGGCAGAACGCTTGCTTAGCATATACAGGGCCTTAGGTTATATCCCTACCACAGAACAAAAAAGCCATCTGAATGACCTTATGACACAGTGGCTGGTTTACCCTGGAATGGGGATATGAGAGAGAGAGAGAGAAAGAGAGATACAGACCTAGGCTGATGTATCATAATTTCTGACCTTGAGACCTGGGGCCTCCAGTAACTATGCCAAGTCTATATTCTAAGAAAATATTAATTTTTCACCAGGTGCCTTGGCACACACCTGTAATCCCAGTGACTCAGGAGGCTGAGATAGAAGGATCACAAGTTCAAAGCCAGCCTCAGCAACAGAGAGGTACTAAGCAACTCAGTAAGACCCTGTCTCTAAATAAAATACAAAATAGGGCTGGGGATACGGTTCAGTTGTTGAGTGTCCCTGAGTTCAATTCCCAGTACCAAAACAGAAAATAAAATATTAATTTTTCCATCATCAGTCTCCCTGGTTTTGTCTATAAATTTCTGTTAATGATTTTTCCAGAAACCATCTTGTTTCATAGGTAGCAAACATAAGCCTGTAAGAAGTCTTCTAGTATGAATACATTTTTACTGTTAATGGCTCTCTGGGCCAGTTCCTTACCCTGAGCTTCTGTTAGTTTAAAAACATCATTGTCCCTCTGGTTTGAACTTTAACTCAGGCATTTGTTAAAGTGATGGGTTTGGATATCTAATCAGAAGGACTTTGATGGCAGAAGAATTAACCCTGGCTCCATAGTTGAGATTTAGAACACAGAGGCTTTGAGAAGGATTGTTAGTGGAAAATTAATAGATATCCAGTCTCTCAATCTATAAAAGAAGAGTTAGCAAGCAGAAGTGTGGTAGTCAGCCTTTTGTTGCTTTGGCAAATGTTTAGAAAAACAACTTAGAGGAGGAAAGATATATTTTGGCTCACAGGTACAAAGGTTTCAGGGGTGAGAGAGAAGATAAATCTTTCCAGGGCACGACCCAAGTGACCTGATTCCTTCAACTAGTTTCCACTTCACAGTAGTCCATTCAGCCATCAATGGATTAATCCACTAATGAGGTCAGAACTCTCATGATCTTGTTATTCCCCCAAAGCCTCACTTCTGAGCACATGCAAATTTGGATGGCCATTCCAGATTCAAACCATAACAAGAAGCTTGGATTTGGCTTGTTACAGTGATACAAGCCTGTAATCCCAGCAACTCAGGAGGCTGAGGCAGGAGGATCACAATTTGTGGCCAATCTGAGGAACTTAAGTGATACCCTGTCAGAGAATAAAAAATAAAATGGCCTGGGGGCATAGCTTAGTGGTAGAGTGCTTATGAATTCAATCCTGACATGCATACATACATACATACATACACACACACACACACACACAAGTTTGGATTCAAAATGAAAATGCAGGAATCATTGATAGACATAGGTGTTGGGGAGTTAATACATTTTTTTTTCTTGTACTGGGGATTGGACCCAGGGCACTTAACCACTAAGCCACATCCCTCCCCTTTTTAAAAATACTTTATTTTGAGACAGGGTCTCTCTGAGTTGCTTAGGGTCTTGCTAATTTGCTGAGGCTGGCTTTAAATTCACTATCCTCCTCCTTCAGCCTCCAGAGCCTCTGGGATTACAGGCATGTGCCGCTGTGCCTAGCCTGATCCATGTTTAAGATCAGTTTACAGAGGCATTGGTGGTGGATGAGTTAATAGAGTCCAGGGTTTGAGATGTTGAGCAGAAGTCACAACAACAATGAATTTGGGGAATTTTTGTAGAAGTGTATGCCTTATAGCAGTATTCTCACAGATGTCATTGTCTTTCTTTCAACTCACCAATACTGCTAGACGGACAAAGAAAGTGGGGGTAATGATGAGCTACGGCCCAGAGAGAGGATTTAGATGTCTTTAGGGTGCTAGTTATCCATACCCAAGCTAAGCCATAACCTACCTGCTGGTTCTGAAACAACTTCAGCAGGGAAAATATCCCCCTACCTCTAATCAGGGAAGGCTTCCTGGAGGAGTATATATTTGGACTAGGTTTGGAAGAATGTGTAGGAGTTCACATATAAAGAACATCCATAATTCATTAGCAGCTTCTGAATTTACATACAGGAGATGCTAATCAGCTGTATCTTGTTGGCAGCAAGAGGAGGAGATATGTCCTTGGAGGTACATTTCACCAAAAGTATTCTTATAACGTTTTCTAAACATTTTTCTATTGAGAGTTTGTTGAAAAACCTTAGTTGTCCATGTGGAAGACTATTATTTTTATTATTCCTGGCTACCATCCTCTTATCTGGATAATGGAAATTGAGGGGGATTCAAGTCCCCTCTACGGCAATTGTGGCACATTAAGAGGAGACTTATCACCCTGATTCTTCCCCCCTCTTCTCCAATGGTATCGCCCATGAGGGAACCTGTACCGCTTTAACCTGACTTCTCCTCCTCATCCCAGTGGTAGCGCCAAGAAGAGGATTGTACCATTCTGAGTCCTTTCCCCTCTTGCTCAATGTATCTACTTGGGAGCTAAGGGTACACACCTCCCTATGCTCCCGGAAGGGAAGGCAACTTTGTTTTGCTAAACTTTGTACCGATCTACAGAATTCATTTCCAAAGTCTAGCGTCTACCGGAAGCCTGCCTTCGCCAGGCTTCTACACCTGAACACCCCCCTTGATCTCGCCTTCTGTGGAACAGCCCGCTGTACGGAATTGGGCGCGAATATGGCGGCTCTCATGGAGAGAAGACTTAGCGCGGCCATGTTGATCTCCTGATAACGCCATTCATGGCCAAAGTCTCTGCCGATCCGTAACACCTTGTTCAAGTGTGAGTAGACTGCAACCTCTCAGCCCTTATGATTGGGTGCAAAACCAACAGTCCTAGAAGGTGCAGTGTCTGGGGTGAGGACAGGAAACGGAAATGGTCCTCAGAGGCCATTTAAGTCTCGGCGCGCGGCACTAAAGCCAGTTCATGAGGGTATATGGCGTGACAGTCTCTCAGGTGGTTTTGAGGTGATGGCTTTGTTGTATTTTGAGAAGGATAAATTGGAAGGTTTTGTGTGCCAGTTGCTGGTGAATTAACGAATCCAGTGAATGGGAGTCTGTGGGGGTCAAGGTTAGGAGCCTCTGGGGTAGTCTGCTTTCAGCTCCCTTGAAGCATCATTTTTTAAAATTGTTTTTTCTCTTCCTGGAGATTGAACCCAGGGTGCTTTACCACTGAGCTACGTCCCCAGCCCTTTTTATTTTTATTTATTTATTTTTTAAATTTTGAGCTACTGCCTCACCATCTTGTAGATACTGGTCTTAAAATTTTGATCTTCCTGCCTCAGTCTCCCCCATATCTGGGATTACAGATGTGCAGCCATATTTGTCCAGGTTTCTAAACCATTTTAATTGTATAGGCCCAGCTCCTCTAACAAGTTTATTCTTAGATGTTTTATATGTTTCCTGCTATCATAATTATTAATAGATTTTTCTTCCATTTCCATTTGCTCATTGCTATTATAGGGAAAAAGTATCTGCTGTTATCATTTTATCTCGAATCCAGCCCCTTTTCACTGTACCTTGTGAATCCTAGTAACCCTTTAGCAGTCTGGTAAGTTTTCTATGTATAAAATCAAATCACTGGCAAAGAAAGCTACATCTTCATTTCTTCTCAATGTTTACTCTATTTCATCTAGAGCTCACAAAACAATTTTTGAGACATAGCGGGAATCTATTTTGTGTGTGTGTGTGTGTGTGTGCGCACATGCACGTGCTAGGGATTGAATTCCATGGTGCTTTACCACTGAGCTACATTCCCAGCCTCTTTTATTTTTTGAGACACGTTCTAAGTGGCTGAGGCTGGCCTCCTGCTTGTGATCCTCCGGCCTCAGTCTCCTCAGTTGCTGGGATTACCTGTTTTTCTTTTTTGTTTTTGTGATGCAGGAGTGGAACCCAGGGTCTCACATATGCTAAGCATGCACTCTTCTACACCCTCTGCCCTTTTTACTAATTTCAATGGCAATAGTTCCATTTACTTTTTGGTATAATATTTCAGGGCTATGTTTCAATTTCATAAGTAATTTTTGTGATATTTAACTTATTTTCTTCTTCCCTAATTTTGAGCTTTTATTAGTAATGGTTGTTGAACTGTGCTAGATGCCTTTGGGGTATAAATTAGTAGCAGCATGTCACCCCTAATTTGCTGATGTAATAAATAACAGTATTAATGTTTACCATCTTCTGGAAACGAGAGACTCAAACTCCCCTGTAGAAGAATTTTTTTTTAAAGAGAGAGAGAGAGGAGAGAATTTTTAATATTTATTTTTTAGTTTTCGGCGGACGCAACATCTTTGTTTGTATGTGGTGCTGAGGATCCAACCCGGGCTGCACGCATGCCAGGCGAGCGCGCTACCGCTTGAGCCACATCCCCAGCCCTGTAGAAGAATTTTTAAGAGAGTTTTTAAAACATTTTTTTTCCAGTTGGTGTGGTGATGCACACTTGGAATTCTAGTAATATGGGGGGCTGAGGCAGGAGGATTTCAAATTTGAGGCCAACCCCAGCAATTTAGCAAGACCTTGTCTCAAAATAAAATAAAAAGTCTGGGGATGCACATGTAATCCCAGCAGTTTGGGAGGCTGAAGCAGAAGGATCATGAGTTCAATGCCAGCCTCAGCAGTGGCAAGTTGCTAAGCAACTGAGTGAGACCCTGTCTCTAAATAAAATACAAAATAGGGCTGGGATGTGGCTCAGTGGTTGAGTGCCCCTGAGTTCAACCCCTGATACAAAAAAAGAAAAAATAGAAAGAAAGAGAGAAGGAGAAAGATTTTAAATGTTAAAATGGAAAAATAATAAAAAGTGGCAGAAGAGACTACCCATTCATTTTCACTGAGATTGCTAAGTCTCCTGTCTTCAGTCACCTACCAGGTCCCCAGGAACAAGTCCCTTCTCTACCTACCCTTTGGAGTTTCACCATTCTCTGGCCCACTTCTACCCTCCCTTCAAACCCAGATCTGGAATTGAAGAGTAGACTGGCTTGTAGAGTGTGAAGCACCCTGTGGAGCCACTCAAGGATAAGGGACTCCAAGTCCATTAATTTGATCCCAGATTTCATTATCATTTTCATAATCCATGCTGAATAATACTCAGAATAGAGGTTGTTGAATTTTGTGGGGTGAATGTGGAACAACACTGATGACATGGATACTGTCCCTTTTAGGATTTCTTGATGTCTCTGTGGAGCCATTGAGCCTTGTACCTTACTGGAGGCTGCAGAATTGTCTGCATACGGACATCTCCCCAGCTTTGGAAGGGGGACTGAGGTCCAGGATGAACATGCCAGCTAATGGGAAATCACCACAGAGGTTCCCTGCACAGATTCCAGGAGAACTTGGAAGACCATTTGAGGTAAGGAGGAAGAGCCTACTTTTTTCTTTTTTTTAATTTATTTTTTAGTTCTCAGCGGACACAACATCTTTGTTTGTATGTGGTGCTGAGGATCGAACCCGGGCTGCACGCATGCCAGGCGAGCGGGTTACCACTTGAGCCACATCCCCAGCCCCTACTTTTTTCTATGAAAGAAATTTCATTATTTCTCTAGTTCGTTTTTATTTTGAAATAATTATAGATTCAATTGCAATGTACTGTTTACCTAGTTTCCCCTAATGGTAACATCTTATTAAACTTTGGTACAAGATCGTTACCAGGATATTGACATCCATCCCACAAGGATATCTCATGTTACACTTTAATAGCCGAGACCACTCCCCTCCCATCCCCACTCCCTCCTTAACCTCCGGCAACTACTAAACTGTCTCCTAATACAATAAATAATTTTGCCATTTCAAGAATGTTATAAAAGGCTGGGTACAGTGGTGCATGCCTGTAATCCCAGGGGCTTGGAAGGCTGAGGCAGGAGGATCACTAGTTCAAAGCCAGCCTCAGCAAAAGCGAGGTGTTAAGCAACTCTGAGACCCTATCTCTAAATAATATACAAATTAGGGCTGGGGATGTGGCTCAGTGGTCAAGTGGCCCTGAGTTCAATCTCCCGTACCAAAAAAAAAAAAAAAAGGTTAATGACATATATCCAGCATTCCAGTTTCTTTTTTTAAAAAATTTTTTAGTTATGTGTGGACACAATATCATTATTTTGTTTATTTATTTTCATGTGTTGCTGAGGATTGAACCCAATGCCTCACATGTGGGAGGCAAGCATTCTGCCACTGAGCCACAAACCCAGCCCAGCATTCCAGCTTCGTTTTTTTTTTTAGAGAGAGAGAGAGTGAGAGAAAGAAAGAGAGAATTTTTTTAATATTTATTTTTTAGTTTTCGGTGGACACAACATCTTTGTTTGTATGTGGTGCTGAGGATCGAACCCGGGCCTCACGCATGCCAGGCGAGCATGCTACTGCTTGAGCCACATCCCCAGCCCCTCCAGTTTCATATAAGCAGTGTCACCTGTGCTTCAGCTTTTTCTCTTTCTGCCCAAATATCTTCTGGCAATTACAGATGATGATGATAATGATGATGATGGTGGTGGTGGTGGTGGTGATGGTGATGATAATTTGGTACAGGGGCTATATCCCCAGATGTTTTTACTTTTTTAATTTTGAGACAGGGATTCACTATGTTGTTTAGGGTCTCAGTAAGCTCAGTAAGTTGCTGAGGCTGCCCTCAAACTCATAATCCTCTTCACTTAGCCTCTCAAGTCACTGGGATTACAGGTGTGCACCATCACACTGGGTCAGATTATTTGTTTGTCTGTAGGTTTTTTTTTTGTGTGTGTGTGTGTACTAGGGATTGAACTCAGGGGCACTGGACCACTGAGCCCCATCCACAGCCCTATTTTGTATGTTATTTAGAGACAGGGTCTCACTGAGCTGCTTAGTGCCTCACTGTTGCTGAGGCTGACTTTGAATTCTTGATCCTTCTACCTCAGCCTCCCGAGCCACTGGGATTACAGGCGCACCTGGTTGTCTGTAGTTTTTACCTTTTCTAAAATGTCAATGTAGTTGGAACTATATACTATTTAGCTTTCTCAGACTGGGTTCTTTGTTGTTGTTGTTTATTGATTTTTTTTAAAAATAAGTGACAGTGGAATGCATTACAATTCTTATTACACATATACAGCACAATTTTTCATATCCCTGGTGTATATAAGGTATGTTGACACCAATTTGTGTCTTCATACATGTACTTTGGATAATGATGTCTATCACATTCCACCGTCCTTACTAATCCCTTGCTCCCTCTCTTTCCTTCCCGCCTCTAAGACTAGGTTCTTTCACTTAGTAATTTATATTTAAGGTTCCTTCATATGTTTTTGTGACCTGATAGTTCATTTCTTCTTACCACTGAATAGTACTCCATGGTATATATGTACCACAGTTTGTTTATCCATTCCCATATTGAAGAGCTTCTTGGTTGTTTCTAGGTTTTGGAGATTTATGAATAAAACTTCTCTGATAATTCTTGTGCATGTTTTTGTGGACCTAAGTTTTCAACTTAACTGGTTACACAAGTAGGAGCATAATTGCTGAGTTATATGGTAAGATTGTATTTATTTATTTGTTTGTTTATTTATTTATTTATTTTGGTGCTGGGATTGAACCCAGGGCTTTGTGCATGCTATACAAGCACTCTACCAACTGAGCTATATCCTCAGCCCTATAGTAAGATTTTGTTTACTTTTGTAAGAGTATTGCCAAACTGTCTTCCAGGGGTTTTCAGCATTTTGAATCCTTTCCAACCACAAATGAGAGTTCCTGTTCCTGAATATCCTCATGAGCATTTGGTATAGTTGGTATTCTGGATTTTAACTGCCCTAATATGTGTGTAGTTGTACCTTACTTTTTAAAATGTTTTTCAGTATTGGGGATGGAACCCAGGGCCTCATATATGCTGGAAACTGCTCTACCACTGAGCTACCTCTCCAGCTCTCTTTAAATTTTATTTCAAGTTTCTGAGACTGGCCTTGAATTTATGATCCTCTTGCCTCATCCTTCCCAGCAGCTGGTATTGTAAGCATATGCCACCATACTCAACTATATCTTATTGTTTTAATTTGAAATTTTCTAATGATATAGTACATAATATTGAGCACATTTTTACATGCTTATTTGCTATCTGAATGTCTTCTTTGGTGAGATATCTGTTCAGACCTTTGCTTATTTGTGTGTGTGTGTGTGTGTGTGTGCGCGCGTGCGCTGTTTGTAGTACTGGGGATTAAATCTAGGGCCTTGTGCATGCCAGGTTTGCTCATTTCTTAATTATTATTATTTTCTTGGTACTGGGGATTGAACTCAGGGATGCTTAACCACTGAGCCACATCCTTAGCCCTTTCTTATATTTTATTTAGAGACAAGATCTTGCTAAGATGCTGAGGCTGTCTTTGAACTCAAAATCCTCCTGCCTCAGCCTTCCAAGCCATTGGGATTATAGGCATGTATTACTGCACCCAGACTTAATTGTTTTTTTACCCCCTCAAATTTATTCAATTAAAGGATAAGACACAGTTTGTTTGCCTTCTTATTGTTGAGGTTTTTTAAAATATTATTTTAGTTGTTGTTGACCTTTATTTAATTAATTTATTTGTATGTTGTGCTGAGAATTGAACCTAGTACCTCACACATTCTAGGCAAGTGCTAAGAGTCCTTAATTTTTAAATTTTTAGGCAGTGCTAGAGATTAAACCCAGGGCCTTGTGCATGCTAGGCAAGCATTCTACCAATGAGCCACATCCCAAGCCCTTAAGAGATTTTTTAAAATATATTTTGGGTAAGACTTTTGCTGGATAAATGTTTTACAAACATTTCTCACAGTCTGTGCCTTATTGCTTCATTTTATTAATACTGTCTTTCACAAAGCAGAAGCTTTCTTTTTATTTATTTTTTTATTGATGCCAGGGATTGAACCCAGGGGTGCTTTACCACTGAGCCACATTTCCAACCCTTTTTATTTTTTATTTTGAGACAGGATCTTGCTATGTTGCTGAGGCTGGCCTTGAATTTGTGATCCTTCTGCCTCAGCTTTCCAAGTCACTGGGATATGGGCATGTGCTATCACACCTGGCATGAAGTTTTCAATTTTAATAAAGTCTCATTTATCAAATTCTCCTTTTGTGGATCATAGTTTTGGTGTTGTATTTAAAAAGTCATTGCCAAGCTCAAGATCACATGATTTTCTCCTATGTTACCTTCTAGAAGTTTTATACACACAGGTCTATGATCCTTTTTTTTTTTTCGGTGGTGGTGCTGGGGATTGAATCCAGGGCCTTGTGCATATGAGGCAAGCACTCTACCAACTGAGCTATATCTCCAGCCCTAAAAATCCATTTTTGAGTTAATCATTATGAAATGTATAATGTCTGTGCTAGATTCTTTTTTAATTTTTGCATATCACGTTGTTCCAGCATAATTTGTTGAAAAGACTATTATTTCTTAGCTAAGCATGTAGCTCAGTGGTACAGCATTTGCCTAGTATGGGCAAGGCCCTGGGTTTGGTCATCCCAAGCATGGCAAAACAAACAAAAACTCATTATTTCTTCATTTCTTTTCTTTTCTGTTTTCTTTTTCTTTTTTTTGGCACTGGGGATTGAACCCAGGGACACTTTGCCACTGAGCTACATCTTCAGATCTTTCTTATAATATTTTTTTTATTTTGAGACACAGTCTCACTAAATTTCTTAGGGCCTCACTGAGTTGCTGAAGCTTGCCTCGAACTTGTGATCCTCCTACCTCACTTTCCTGAGTCACTGGAATTACAGGTATGCACCACTGTGCCTGGCTTGCTCTTGCTTTTTTGTCAAAGATCAGTTGGGTATATTTGTGTGGGCCTATTTTGGGGCTCTTTACCATGTTACATTGATCTATTCATCTATTCTTTCACCAATAATGTTACCAGAGTTTTAGGAAGAAGGCCCTGGCTCTGGGGGTCCCAACAGACTAGGCTCAGTCACATATCTCAAGATAACAATTGAAAAAACAAGCAATAGTGAAGGCAGGAAAGCAGCTTTTTTTAAATGGTATTGGATATTGATCCCAGAGTCTCACACATGCTAGGCAAGTGTTCTATCACTGAGCTACATCCCCAGCCCTTTTTAATTTTTTAAACATTTTTAGATATAGAGGGACATAATACTTTTATTTAATTAATTTATTTTTTATGTGGTGCTGAGGATTGACCCAGTGCCTCATACATATGAGGCAAGTGCTCCACCACTGACTGAGCTAAAACCCCAATTCCCTTTTTAAATTTTGAGATGAGGTCTCACTAAGTTGCCCAGCTGGCCTGGAGCTTGCAATCCTTCTGCCTCAGCCTTGGAGTACCTGGGGTTACAAGAATGCATCATGCTTTCCTAGGAAAGGAGTTTTTTAAATTAATTTTTTTTGCAGTAGTGGGGATTGAACC